CCTGCAGCAGAATAAAATCAACTCTAAGCCTATTTGAAAGAGGATAAATACAAAGGAAAACTTAGAGGGAAAATATGGAAATGTATTTCTCAAAGTGGCTGCCTTTTCTGAGCTAGCAGCTATTTGAATATGACTGTGGTGCCAGAATCCACTGATGTGATTTAAAAATAAAAAGACTCTAGGAAAATACCAGTGGTTTTCATTATTTCTCCATTGGGAATTTCTGGCTTCGGTAGTAGATTCAGACTTCATTGTTAGCAGCCAAATGTTGAATACTAAACAAAGCATTTCCTCCTAAATTAAATGGAGCTCTTGAATTATGCAGCTTTAATGCTCACTTCTCTGCAGAGAAGAAAGGGTTAACAGCATGAAATATTACCTCTGTGTGAGAGAGGAGGGATTTAATTTCAGAAGGCAAGATCTTACAGCATATCCTGACTCAGACATGCTTTTACTGATTCAGCCATAGCATTCACTTGGAAAGCTTTACATCATGGCCTTGGCAGACTCCCAGGCTTTCCCAATGCAGGCTGCTATTTTTCCTTTAGCTTACCAAAAATAACCATGCATAGATTTAGTGTACTTGGTTTGCTGGTGTTTACAGGCATGTGAGTGTTGTCAAGATTGCTCTGGGCAGGTCGGGGAGGAATGGGGGAAACATGGGTTTGCTCTGCAGGCAGAGCCACCCACCCTACAGCCTGGGCCTTTTGAGGACCTCCAGGCATCTGACCTGTGCACTTCTCTTACTTGCTGCACTAGTCCCATCATCTGCTTGTGTGTTCCCAGCTTAGGGCCAGCCTTTCTGCCCACCTGTGGTGGTTTGCAAGGGGATAATGGCTTTCCCCTCCCCGTGACTTTCATGGTGCACCGATCATCAGGGCAAAAAAAGTAGCTGCGACTTTCTTCAGAGCAAGATGTGCCAAAACTCTGGCATTAAAACATTGAGAAAAAAATAATAATAATAAAAAAATAATAATAATAAAATATATATCAAAACACTTGCTACATGAAGCATTGAGCATCATGATGTCTCTGTACAGACTTCCTGACCTCTTTCTAGGCCCTTTTCCTGCAGCCAGGAGGACAGAGCCTCAGCTGCTATCAGAGCTGTCATGTATTACAACTCCTGGGTGGATGGAGATGCCTTCTGTTTTGTGCACTGTGATGCAAAGTGACTGACACACCTGGGTGCAGAGCATCTTGGGGTCTGTGTCACAGAGGATTGTGAAGGAAGACCAGCAAGTCGCTTAAAACAGGACAGCCTTAAAGCTCAGCTGCCAACCAGGGCATCCCCAGCGTGCTTCTTGTCCGGGAGGCACAGCAAACACCAGCACTAGCATGTCATCCACCACCAGACTTCCTACAGCAAGATATCTAAAAGGCAGTGCTTCTGCCAGCATCCAGACTTGCTGTGTAGAGTGCAGCTTCAGAAGGCACACACAGTTGTTCCTTAACTTTAGAAGACAGCTGGAAACAGCAGTGAGCACTCAACAAGGTTTTACTGAGACAGCTTGTCTAAAACACATCACAGCAAGAGTTACAGCAGGTAACAGGTTAGCAGATATTTTTGCTCAAGCTTATTACCAGCCAGCTTCCTTAGCTTCCTAGCATGACTGTGGCAGGTTCTGTGTCCAAGCCCAGGAGCATTGCAACCAACACCTCCACTAAAAGGATGAAAGGATTTGGCAATCTGGCAACATTCAGTCCAAATTATTGCAAGCAAGCTCTCTGAAAATTATCTCAAGGCCTGGAAGACTGCAGAACAGGATGACTGCAAAATGTCACAAGCTGTCATAGCTCATTCTGCTGCTCTTCTTGTTTTATGGGATCACAGAATGGTTTCAGTTGGAAGGGACCTCAAAGATCATCTAGTTCCAATTCCCCTGCCATGGGCAGGGATGCCTCCCACTAGAGAAGGTGAGTCCAATCCCCATCTAGCCTGGCCTTGAACACTTCCAGGGATGAGGCAGCCACAGCTTCTCTGGACAACCT